AAAAATATATATTTGCCCTCCATATGTTTCAATCCAAGAAAAACCATTCACATATGTAACTATTGAAGAAAAACTTTATTTGTTGTCCATAATACATGTGAACGTATAACATTTGAATAAAATTAAATAATGTATAAACCCTAAATGTAGGCTACTGTGAGAGTGGATATGTATTTTCTTTCCCATTAAATATATTTTGGTAAATTAAGGGTGAAAATAAAATTAATTTTCAATTTCAAAAATATATTTCATTGAGCTTCACTGTTTACAACATATATTTGGCATATATTTAAAATATGTTGTGACTAAATCTGTGAGCAAACCCATATATATATATATACGTATATATATTAGATTTAGTCACAACAAACAGCGCAAACAATCGTGTAAAAGAAATCAGAAAGATCAAATAAACCGCAACCTTGAATGTTTGTGGAGGATTGTTACCAATGCAAGAACGCACAAATGCCAAATTAAAATAAAATGTTTTTGGGATAAATAACCAGCAGAGAAATATCACAAATAAATCAGGATAAGCAGAAATCGTGATCACGATTAAAATACAATTCATTGTGCAGCCCTACATTCAAGCACATATTGTATAAGTTTTTGCTTTCCCTGTGATTCGATTATTCGAACCTTAGCATTGCTTCAGGAAGACTAGTTTATAAAAAGATTGTTTATTTGACTTAGCACCATATTGCAAGTCTTCTGAAGTTATGAAATCAGTGAAATGTAAGTCGTTATTTGCTGATAAATGACATGAGGGCGAGTAAATGATGAGAGAATTGAGATTTTAGTGTGAACTATCCTTTTAAATCATGTCTCTGTAGTACCATGTCGTCTATGTTCGCTTGTGAATGTACTTCACGACAGCTTGTGAATTTTAAAACGTCTCTAAACCATTAATGTTGATCATAGTATTCCCTTAATTAATTACCACAGTTAGGAAATTCACGTCAAGCACATATGAAATATAAAATATCACTTTCTCTCAAGTTTACAGTTTTTTAATACTCCCTGGATTAATCATTTGCATGTCAGTAAATTAGGAATATTTAGAAAGAATGGATATTTGAAGTTAATTTCATACTGCAAATTAACAGCTTCTTGAAATACATTTCTTAAAGATACTAAACCTTCCCAAGCAATTTCTAAAACTATTTCTGTAACAACAAAAGTATCCGTTTAATAATCTGCTTCACAATCATTCAGCATACATATAAAATCATCTCATTTTCTAATACATCAGAAAACATGAGGGCCAGATGTAGTATGAAGTTAAACATGAACTAACCGTTTAGTTTCCTCTTCTGTTACTTAGTTGAATCTCACTCATGAAACAAGAAGAACTACTATTTTGAATGCACTAATTTTCTGAGAGCACATGAGAAATGCACCGTATCGTTTTGCCTTGTTCTGATGTAATTGATGTTCTGTTGCCTTTTATTGTTTGTTTTACTGGTTGAAACCATACTGAACAAAAATGTCTGTATCGAGACCGGACGGATGACCGGATTTAACGTATGTTTCCCGTAGAAATCATCTGTATCTGTTCTACAGCACTTCACACAGGAAGACTGCACTTCTCCAAAGAGGACAGTTGGTTTGCATCATCCGTCTTCCGTATCAGTCGCCGCAGTCTTTCTCTAACGCTCCCTTTAATGCTGTTCATCTGCTGTTTGTGCTGGACAGATGGGGGAGACCGGGGCTAGTTGTCACACAGTGAATATGCTTTATGGTGGGTTGATTTCTTTACAGACAAAATCCTGAGAGTCTTGATTACAAAACGCTATTGCTCAGGAAAAATAGTTAATTTACATTCATGCATTTGGAAAATGCTTTTATCCAAAGAGACTTGCATTGCATGCAATGTTTACATTTTATCAGTTCGTGCGTTTGCTGAAAAATTGAGCTTTGAAATTTAACCATTTTAACTCAGAAATTGCTAGTATGTGTCACAAATAATGACATTAAAATGGACTTAAATGTGAAATTTTGAAGTAGAAAAAGTATTTTTTGTTGTAAAAAACAGATCTTTTTTTTACAGTGTACAGTATAGTGGGGCATGTTGTCACAATATATGGTATAATTAAAAAGGGAACCTCCTGCTGATAGTGATTTGTTATTAAAATACCTTTGTTTGAAATATGTAGTACTATATTAAATAAAAACTAAGTAAAAAACCAACAAGTGTATTTGCGCTTTTGACTCAAACCCTTTTTGCCATGTGACAACTAGACCCGGTCTTCCCGATTTGAATGCAGAATTCAGCAAAAGCAGCAGAATTACATCCTGGATTCATATAACATACAATAATTACATAATGTAGAGTCAGAATACTGTGGTAAATGACCGCTGAACGTCATTTAACCTAACAGAGACATATAGATGTAAGTCATTGGTTCAGTTGGGTCATGTGGCAGTTCTGAAGTACCTTGCTTACCATGTAAATACCATGCTACATGAATATGGTATTCTCTGCCGTCACTGTACTACGGTAACACCACAGTACTTGTTTGTAAGGGACAGTTGAGTTCTGCACATTCAGTCCCAGTGAATCTGTAACAGTGGTTTTGAGTTGAATATCGTCACAGCTGCCTTGCTTGGTTTCACTTTGTTTTCCAAAGAATCTACTGTATTTTGCTAAATTGCCTTTGGCATCTTTTATAACGCTGTCGGTTTTGTTCCTGTTGTGTGTAAATGTTTGGTTCTGAAATGCTTGTGAATGTATTTCTAAATGCTGTCGTTTTGTTTTCATTGTACAGACTCACAACTTTCACGTATTTTGTAGATCTACACAAGCAGACGAACACAACCAGCTTCTGTGGCACAAGAATCTGTCAGACGGGTTTGTGTTATTAGTGATTCTGCACCACTAGTATTTTAAATTAGTTTAACCAGCAAGACTTACTCGGTCAATTAGCCTCACCAGAACGACCAGCACTAACTAGCATTCACTTGAAAAGTCATGGTCTTTTTAACAAGAAAGTTGCTAGTCTTGCTTTTACTCCCAAAATGTACTCAATATGATCATCACAGACCAAATGTTTTGCTTTTTGAATGTTAAACGCAGATTTGAGGAAGAAATCTTAGCTTGGTGCTTCTCAGAAACCAGGTTGACCGCATTATTCGCCATCTATGAAAGTCCGTTTCCGCCACGAAATAAAAAATAAGAAAGGTATTTGTGACTTTTTACTTCACAATTCTGACCTTTTTACTTGCAATTCTGATTTTATTTCTCATAATTATGAGTTTGAGTTTATAGCTCATAATTCTGAGTTTACATCTAGTAATTCTGTGTTTATATCATAATTCTGAGTTTCTATCTCATAATTCTGTTTATATCTCATAATTTGTAGTTTGTCCCACAATTCTTAGTTTATATCTCGTACTTCTGAGTTTGAGTTTATATCTCATAATTCTGAGTTTATATCTCATAATTATTTGTTTATATCTAATAAT